ACTCAGCAAGCTATATTATAAAGGTTGCCTCAGACGGCACTGCACGCCTAACACGGTGCGCGCGCATGCGCAAGATTTCCCGAGAGAAATCGTATTTGTGTAACGTTCATGCATTTAAAATGAAGAGGAGTCATCCTAACATAGGTTTATATAATAACATTCCATCTGTAAACATTATTTAAGAAATAGGAGGAAGACCTTGCATGTAAGGTCCCGGCTGCGTATACCAGCCAGTACACAATCTGGCTACGTTAGTATGTTAGCGCATGCGCAATATCTCACCAGAAGAGTTATATTTTGTGATGAATATGCATTTAAAATGGCTAGGGGGTATCTCAGCATAGATTCCCCTAATAAACTTTCATCAGTTGACATGTGTTTATAATTAGGAGAGCGCCCTAGCATATAGGATACAAAACACCTACTTGATGCCCTTGTTTCCTTCCCCTTGCCTCCCCTGTCCCTCGCGCAGCCTCCTTCTTCATCTACCGCCCCCCATCTATCTTCCCTGCCGAATTTTCTCAGTCTCCCATCTTCTCTCCCCCTCAGCAAGCTATATTATGAAGTTTACCTCAGACGGCGCTGCACGCCTAACACGATGCGCGCATGCGCAATATCTCCCGGGAGAAATCGTATTTTGCAATGATTATGCATGTAAAATAAACAGGAGTTATCCTAGTATAGATTTATATAAGAACATTCCATCAGTAGACATCATTTAAGAAATAGGAGGAAGACCTTGCATGTAAGGTCCCCTCTGAGTATATAGACGACAGATATCCACATCCAAGTGTGGTCTTAAGCCACCAGGCCTAGGGCCCCGCTGGCGTAATAATACAATGTACAAGTGATGCAATCTACTTTTCTTTGCTGGAGGCGGTATAGCTTACAACCATGGCTTACCACTCACTATTATATAGATGGCATTAGGCCACCGTCATATACAATACTATATATGTGGCCTTGGACCCCTATCATAAACTATTCTATTATTACAATACTATATAGGTGGCCTTAGGCCCCCGCCATACAAATACTATATATGTAGCCTTGGGCTCCCATCATACACTATTATTACAACTCTATATAGGTGGCCTTAGGCTCCCGTCATACAAATACTATATATATGGCATTGGACCCCCATCATACACTATTCGATTATTACAATACTATATAGGTGGCCTTAGGCCCCCGTCATACAAATACTATATATGTGGGCTTGGGCCCCCATCGTACACTATTATTACAATTCTATATAGGTGGCCTTAGGCCCCCGTCATACAAATATAACGCCGAAAACACTATAACGTGCTACTAATAACTTACCGAGTGCTGCACTAGCGCTTGTCTTGTTTTTTTTCCTATTTAATGCGATATCTATGCCTATGGGTAATACAATCGGCATATACCACGGTAACTTGTTTTAGCATTACTAAAATACGTAAACAAAAAGAACTATTTTCGGTGAGCTTACGGGTTATTTTGAGCTTTACGGGTTACGGTGAGCTTACGGGTTACGGTGAGCTTACGGGTTATTTTGAGCTTTACGGGTTACGGTGAGCTTACGGGTTACGGTGAGCTTACGGGTTATTTTGAGCTTTACGGGTTACGGTGAGCTTACGGGTTACGGTGAGCTTACGG